GGGGTGGGAGAGGGTCATAGAGAGGAGAGGAGAGATGTGAGAGAAAGAAAAATCTTGAGTTAAGAGAGGGTTTCCTCATGATTCTGTACAATCTAATCCTACAAATACATAATTATCTGAACAATGTTCTACAAGTCATTTTCCTGCAGAGATTTCCTTGCGGTGGTTTTACCATTTACACACAGACAAGACAGGAAAAGTCCAGCACCGCACACACGGAGGACGGCTCTTGTTACCGTCACATTTTGTAAATATAATTTGTATCTCTTTTGCACCAAGTTACTGTTTTTTTTGTTTTGGATTTGCTGCGTAACAAACAATATTCCAATCGGATCCTCCGGATATTTGTAAATTCCTTTTCTATTAACAATCTATAGCACAATGGAAGCGGAATATCATCCGCCGGGACCGGGACCGGCAACAGCACGCCGCCTTCCGGGACCTCGTCCAGTCCTCCCCCAGCCAGGTAAGACATCCCCCGAAAATAAGACCTAGTGTCTTTTTTCGTGCAAAAAAAAAAATAAGACAGTGTCTTATTTTCGGGGAAACACGGTAGTAAAGTCAGTTGACAGATAGACCACCCCGAGGACACTTTTTACATCTAGGGAGGTAAAAAAAAGGATCCCCCCCCAATTACAGGAAGGCTTCTCTACAGTACTTTTTGGTTGAACTCAACGGGCATGTGTCTTTTTATACTATGTATCTGATTCGGAGACAATATTAAAAACAGACAGGGAGACTGATGTGAGACAGACGCACAGATCTTACCTGTCCAGCAAAAATGCCGCACACTCCAATTATACAGAGAATATTGAAAACAGCCGAACCAACAATGGTCCCAACACCTACATCACCGTGGGTGATAAATACTCCTAATGAGGGAAGAGAAAGGGTGGGGGCAGAATATGAGAGGAAGAGGGGGGGGAGAGAGAAGAAGGGGGGGCAGAGAAGGGGGAGAGCAGGAAAAGGGGAAAATAGGAAGAGAGACAGAGAAAAGAGAGAGAAGAAAAGGGAGACAGGAGAAGAGGAAGAGAGGAAGAAGGGAGAGAAGGAAAAGAGAAAAGAAGAAGGTGGGAGAAAAGGGGGAGAGAGGAAGAAGGAGAAAAGAGGACGAGAGGAAGAAGGAGAAGAGGGGGAGATAAGGTAGAGAGGAAGAAGGGGGAGAGAGGAAGAAGAAAAGGAGGAGAGGAAGAGAGGGGAGAGAGAAGAGGGGAGAGCAAGAAGGAAAAAAAGGTAGGAGAGGTAGAGATGAAGAAGGAGAAGAGAGGTAGAGAGGAAGAAATGGGGAGAAAGAAGGAGGAGAGGAAGAAGGAGGAAAGACAGAGAAGAGCGACAGAAGAAAAGGAGGAGGAGGAGAAGCCAGATAAAGTAGGTGAGGAAGAGAGAAAGGAGGGGAGAGAGAGAAGTGAGGTTAGAGAGGGAGAAAGGGAAAATGGAGGGAAGAAAGAAACATAGAATTAAGGAGAGAGGAGGAAGATTGGGAGAGAGAGAGAGAGAGAGAGAGAGAGAGAGAGAGAGAGAGAGAGAGAGAGAGAGAGAGAAAAAGGGGGAGGGGAGAGAGAGAGAGAGAGAGAGAGAGAGAGAGAGAGAGAGAGAGAGAGAGAGAGAGAGAGAGAAAATGGGTAGATACAAAAGAAGGGGGAAAGAGGGAGATGGGGATAAGGGTAAGAGAGAGAGATGGCAGGAAAGAGGGACATGGTAAAAGAAAGCAGAGAGAGAAATAAGGGGAAGATAGATAAAAAGAAAAAAATAGAGAAGGGGGATTAGAAGATGTAGAAGGAGAGAACATAAGATGTTATAGACAATCCATCTTTGCAATAGACATACAATACATTTCATCTTTCATTATTTTGTAGTAATAATTACTAATGATCAGAGGTGATCTCTGTGGGGACTGCACGCAGCGTGCACTCCTTTATTTCGCCCACCAGGTGGCAGTGTGCACTCCTCTATACCGTGCCTCTATTGTACAGTTTGCAGAGCCCCAGTTGAGCTTACTGGATTGTTTGAGTGGTTAAGAGATTTCTATGGCTTCTTTATTTGTTTTGGGCTTCTCCATGCAGGTATACAAGTATAATTTAAACCAATTATGTTTGTTTTAAAACCCATGAAATGTATTTTTACATACAGCTGATATATATACCAGAAGATCCTGTCTTCATATTAGCCTTTTTTACACAGTAGCAGAGTAGAAGCGGGAATGCTCCCTCGTCACTCCCTGATTGGCCAGAAAGCCGGCTCCATGCTCCCTCATCACCTGGAGACGAGGGAGCATGGAGACAGCTTCCCTGCTAATCTGGTGACAAGTCATTACACACCGCCCGGCTTCCTTAATGGGACTTTGGTATCGGCGAGTACCGGAAAAAAATATCGGTACTCGTACTCAATACCGAAAAACCGATATCGGTGCATCCCTATTATTTTCTCTTCTGGCTGAATGTTCTTAAGACTATTTTGGCTTCTTGGTGAATGTTCTTAGACAAATACTCTTTTCCCTTCCATGTAATAGAGAAGAGGGCTCTCCGGAGATATGTGTGAAAGGAAACAATGCTGCATGTAAATTGATACTTTGTAATAATAAGCAATCTGTTCCCAATGCCATAAAATAATGTGCATTACAATGAGTTACATGTAACAAGGTGGATGCCACCTCCCACCTCCTGTTTCACTGGCTGCTATTTACAGCTGATACACTTTGATGCACACTGTCTGCGTCCAAGAGCAGGCACCTGGACCAGTATGGATGTGCAGGTACGGGTGTCATAGTGACTACATTTAATTGGTGCAGCCGCATCCTCCAATGGGGAAGAACAGGCTGCTAAATGCAATCACACATAGCACCTGCCCCTTCTGGGATCGGGTCTTTTTACGGGCATGCACCTCTATCTGATTGAGCCCTAATAGAGATCAATAGTGCGACAATTATCAGTGTTAATACTCATGGGGGGGAAATTTATCAAAACTGGAGCAGACAGAATCTGGAGCAGTTGCCCGTGGCAGCCTATCAGCATCTCTTTTTAGTTTGCTCAGGTAAGATTTGAAGATGAGACAGAGAACCTGATTGGTTGCAGTGCAAATCTGTTGCAGATTTTGCCTGCTCCACTTTTGATCAATTCCCCCCCCCCCCACGGAGGCAAATAATTCCGGAGTCGAGCTCCCTGCCGCCATGAACGTCGCCCCAGCCACGTCCTCGCTCAGGTGAAGCCTCTGTAAAATAAAAGCGAATTAAAGCTCCAGAGAACCCAAAACGATCAATAATGCCGTTACTCTGTGCGAGCGATTGGCTACAAACATCCACAAATATAAAAATGTCCAATGTACGAACGTTCGTATGAAAAATCTGATCGGAACATTCGGCAATGCCGTCAGAGCCGTGATGAATGTCGTTTGAAATTTCGTTTTGTTTCAACATTCCATTTTGAAGATGAATGGAGCTTCCCGAAGGAAAATCCCAAAAAACGATTTCCTTCCGGTCATCAATGATCGTCATTCATTAGAGAATCAAACAAACGCTGCGGATGAAATTCTGCTGATGTACGGCCAGTTTTAGGGGGCACATCTACTTCGGGGGCCCGCTTGAAGTCAATTATTAATGCGGGGAAGGAGAGGATTCTGGGAGTTCTCCTGGCAAGGTATGAGGGATGAGGAGTCAGCCGCTGACATAACATATGTCTATACATTATGCATGCACAGACCGCGTCTTCTATTTCTGAATAATTCACGGTAAACAGTTAATATTCTGAAGCCGCTCCAAATGTACAACAGATTTTGTAATTATTCACGCCGCGCTTTGCTCAAGGTTCCTGCGCAGCGAGACAGCCAAGAATCAAGCGGGGAAAATTTGGAGGTGAGTAAAGAGCTTTTATCAGGAATGGAATATGGGGGGGGTGGGGGGATTAAACCCCTTTCCATAAAGGGTCAGTCCAACATTAAGTGCATTTCCAGTGTCTGGTGGGTACCAAAGAGTTATAGCACCAAACAGTTCCCCAATGTAGCCACGTGACACCGCCATTATGAATGGGTCCTCCTCCTGCCCTGACCGTGACACAGCTCTGCCTGAACTACCCCTGCCCTGACCTTCTGCCTGTAACATGGCCCTGTCTGAGCAATGCCTGCCCTGCCAACAAAATCCAAGCCTTCTTGCAGGGTTTACTTGTAAGAACCCATCACTCCCAAGATAGCTTAAAGGAGAACTATGAGGGGAGTGAAAATCACTCATCGTCATAGTTCGAGCCGACGCGTGGCAATGAAACGTCGGCTCATTAGATCGGGAAGTGAGCGAACACATACCGTCGCTCGCTCACTTCTCGATCATCTCCTCTGCAGAGAGCCGTGGCTGTCAGTCACCGCTTCCCACAGGGATTCCCCCCTCCCGCTCCAATCCTCCAGCGCTGACTGGAGGAATGGATGGGGGAGGGGGCGGGTACAGCTGGCTCTGCCTCTAGATAGGCATAGCCAGCTGTCACTCACACAGCTGGGTGGATCTCGACAGTAATGTCGGGATCCGTCCCGGCTGCACCAGTCTAAGTATAACGCGAGCTGTAGCTCGCGATATACTGAGCTTTGGGTGACGGGAGGACGCTAGTATATGTCCTCCGGTAACCTTTAAGAGAACTATGGGGAAAAACACACCTCATAGTTCTCTTTTAAGGATCACAGTGATGACTGTCCATGTGGTCTCTTTCCTTGATCATAGATCATGTGACCAGGCACAGAAGACATGACTGCACATGCATTGATTAAGATGTGGCACCGGAGCCCAAAGTTCAATGTCTTTACATCATCTGTACATATCCTGTGCAGAGAGCAGAGCTGCAGGAGGGGCTCAGCAGGCTCCACCTGTTAGAAATACAACAGCATACAGTACATATGATTGTAATTATGTCTTTTGAACTGTAGATGGCACTGTAGTGCAATGTTAGTCTCTATGCTTATGCAAACGTATCTATTACATACAGGGAGTTCTCTGTATGCTGTAAAAAAGCTGTACTCTGATATAATGTTCTTCTAAGCAAGTCAAACTTAATTCAGCATTCCCCAAGATCTCAACGCTTCATCTAAATACATAACCAACACCACCCACTACAGGAGGGGGCAGAGAGCAACAGTGACTGGTCTTTATTACAGGAGGGGGCAGAGACAAGACCAGTCACCCTGCACAAGGAGAGAGAGCAGCAGTGACCATAGGCCTGGGAAGCCTTCGTTTGCGCAGGTGATTAGCTCCCCACCTGCTGGTGTCATCAGGCCAGGGTTGCAGTCCAGGTGGAGTTCTGCTTCTATGCAGGCACACCCACCACAGAATGCAGCCTCCCTTGCTTGGCGTTCTCGTCCTGCGTATCTGCCATCTGCTGGGGGTCAGAGACGCAAACCGAGGAAGGTCCTTATCAGCCGAATCTTGAGCGAAGCCTTTCATGACCCACTGGCCTTAAGGGATTGTACAGGCCAAATTTTGAGGGAAGGGTTAAGATTGATTAATATGGACAGGGTGCCACTTAAATTCAGGGATCTGGCCTGGATGTGCTTCCATGGGAAGCTCTATGTTGGGGGCAATTTGAAACATTGCAGTGAGTCGGAACGTGGTTGTCCGCGAGAGGAGTGTGCGGGTGTGGTGGAGACCATGGACCATTTTCTGCTTCATTGCCCCTTTAACATAGAGGTATATAAACAGGTGGGGCGGGGCCTCGGTGTTCCTTTCCTCTCTAGGCTGAGTCATGCTGAGTGGGTGTACGGAGCATTCAATGCTGGAGGGGTTTTTTGTTTGGATACACTTTTTTTAGTCAGCCTAGTGGTCCGTTATTTCACGTGGAATGCACGGTGTCAGGTCTCCATTCGGCATAAAATCCTTCCTGTCCAGGTGGTGGTGAGTGACATTCTGCATGCGGTGGGGAAGATTCGGGTGCTTGAGAGAGACAAGTGGAGGCAGGGGGCTTGGTTGAAGGCGTGGAGGGGTATCAGGCCTCCCTGACTTGCAGAAGTCTCTCTCCGGGTGTGTGGCTGTCTGTCTCTTATCACCCGAGATTTTGTTCTTTAAGATTTTTGAAAAATGGCTGCGTGCATAGGTGACGGGTTGGGCCTCTTAGGCCTTCTCTGCTGCTTCATGTAAATAGTTGGGGAATCTTTAAGCGTGAGGCTGTTTATGCAGCAATGAGGCTTTGCCTATCTGTATATATGTGTATAGCTTTGTGGTGTACTGAATATTTTTTATGTTTTTCTGTTCAGTTAATATTATGGTTATGTTTTGTTACTTTTTTATATAAACGTTGCTTGAGTCTTTTAATAAAAAGATTAGCAGCAGTGAGCGGTCTTTGTTACAGGAGGAGGCGGAGACCAGACCAGTCACCCTGCACAAGGAGAGAGAGCAGCAGTGAGCAGTCTTTATTACAGGAGGGGGCGGAGACCAGACCAGTCACCCTGCAGAAGGAGAGAGAGCAGCAGTGAGCGGTCTTTGTTACAGGAGGAGGCGGAGACCAGACCAGTCACCCTGCACAAGGAGAGAGATCAGCAGTGAGCGGTCTTTATTACAGGAGGGGGCGGAGACAAGACCAGTCACCCTGCACAAGGAGAGAGAGCAGCAGTGAGCGGTCTTTTTTACTCCATTTATAACATTTGTATCATGTGTTTTTTCTCGATTTTTTTGGTTGATATTCTGTCTCTATCATTTAAAATACACCTTTGATAAACATTATAGACCTTTTCATTTCTTTGTAAGTGGGCAAACGTACAAAATCTGCAGTGGATCAAATCGTTATTTTCCTCACTGGAAAATACAACAGGAAACCGTGAACTAACCTCGCAGATTTTCTCCAGAGACGGGACAAAGAAGTCATCGCACACAATGGCCAAAGCGTAGAACATGTACAGCGCCTGCAAAAGAGGAGAAGACAAGTCATTTTACAGCCTCGGCCAATCACTCAGTTGTTCAGTTTCGGCTCTCAGAGAATGAATTATTCAGCTGATACAAAGAAGCGAGCGCAGCAACAAAAGTAAATCCATTTCCTTGTTTTTGGAGCTGGGAGATTTCTGATCTACGCGGAGCATTTATACCGCGATCAATCCGAGCTGAGTCAGGTCATAAATAGAGAGCTGATGCAATTTGCTCTGATAAATCACTACAAATATATTTTTATGTCAGGGCTTCGAGGACAAATGACATTGCTGCTTGAGAACTCGGATATACGATACTGTTAAATTTTACATCGATCTCTGGAGCGCTGCACTAATGGAAGGCCACTGGGATTCAGACCTGGAGATAATGGCAGAGGGCTCTGGTTTCATTAGGTTAGGACGCTGTGAAGGTTCCCTCCATCGGAACGCTGAGGAAACCTTATTTTGCCGGACCGACGCTCAAAAAGTCAGGAAGAGTTGTACCGGCTTATGATTTGGTCCGGAATGTTCATCTTTTGACCTCAAAATGCTTCATCATCAGCTATGAAACTTCTCTTGTGCTGAACCTGTACTAAACACCTTTTCCTCTAGTGGCACATCCAACAAAGGGCTAATGAAGGCCGGACCTGGGCTCATAAAAACTTGAAAGGAGGCCATCAGTGCTGGCCCAATGGGCTGCGGTCGGGTATTTCCATCCCTGCAGCTGCAACTAAACTAAGAGTGGGATGCTGGTGGCATTATTAGTTATATGGCAATATTAGGTCAATGTTATTGACCAAATATGGCCATGTGGTCATATTTGGTCAATTATGTTACCAGCTTTGCATCATAGTCAATGGCCACTGAACAAACAGCCCAGAAGCTGGCAGAAGACCAGCACCCGATCGTTCAGCCCTGCTCCCGATCGTTCAGCCCGGCACCCACTCGCAGAGCCCCACATCCAGCATGGTGACATCTGTAAACTCCCCTGGTGACATGCAAACACAGCTTGGTGACGTCTGTACACTCCCCTGGCGACATGCAAATGCAGCCTGGTAACATCTGTACACTCCCCTGGTGACATGCAAAAACAGCCTGGTGACATCTGTACACTCCCCTGGTGGCATGCAAATTCAGCTTGGTGACGTCTGTACACTCCCCTGGTGACATGCAAACGCAGCCTGGTGAGAAACTGCCCTAAAATTATTAGTCTGTATGGTTTTAGAAAAAAATTTCACATGCCCCATTAAGAAAAAGTATTGCTAATTGGTATCGGCGAGTACCTGAGGGAAAGTACTTGGTCTGAAAAAAAATGGTATCGGTGCATCGCTAGTACCAACCCAACCTACTAGCGTGTTGGTAGAGAGCTGGACCCAATGTTGGGCAAGATAGGGTCTGGAATCCAAATTTTACAGACAGCCCTTGGTCAACCGTGATAACCTTGGGGGTCCCCAGAGGAGTCTACAGAGTATAAAAAGGATGAGAGCGCCAAAGATCTAGCGCAAGTCCGGTAGCTTTTTTTTTTTTATTGCACATGACGATGGGAATACTATGAAACAAATCTTCGTCTAATTGTTTCCCAGCCAATAATCCCGCTCCCCTGTAATCTATTCTCGGCTAATGTTACCCTCCGATAATTAATGCTCCACTCCGGCGATTTATTACCGGCTCCGGCACAGACAAAGCAGTCGGCGCTGTAATTAAAAAGAAATGAAATGGGAACGCAGGGCCGTGGTTATATAAGGCTCAGGATTTCCCCTGAGATAAAAAAGAGAAGACTCAGAATTCTTTGAGTGGCAAAAATGTAATTTAGTGATAATGTGATTGCCGGGTGCGAGCTGAACGCGGGTTGTAATTATTCGCCACAGTATAACGCCGTTAATAATCAGTTCATTCCCATCCT